ATACTTAATTCTAGCTTTTTTACCTTTCCATATGTCTTATATCATCTTGTCCATTCTGCAAACTGTTTATTGGTATAGTAAATGGCAACACTGAAACAGATATAAATTCGAGGAAGAACATTCATTCTGATAGAGTCGATCCTCGAATGTAAATCCAGAAATGGTATAGTTTCCATCTTTGTATATCCGTGTGCAATTTAATGTTAAGAGTCCATAATTTACTTCATACATCTTAGTGAAATCTGTATGTAGTACAATTCTAAATATTTAATACAATCTGCATCCCATTTCATTTATAATCATTTTTAATATTTTGAGGTGGGTCATAATTTAAATCAATATCTGAGTTTGTTTACGTAATTTTGTACCCTGAAAAAGCACCGTATTCTTCAAGTGTTCTGATCACTATGGGTAGGGTCTGCGTTGGGTGAGATATGGTCAATAATAAATCATCAGAAATAACGCCAGTTTGCTCCTCTCCTGCAATTGTTACCCTTTGATATCTTTTCTTTGCCTTATCCATTGACCAAGTGTTCAATATACAAGCAAATAATAGTGCGGACATATACAACCTTGTCTAGTCCCTCTTTCTAGAGCAATTGGCTCAGTAAGGTCCCCATTAATTTTAATTCTAGCGGTCGGTTTGTTGTATAACCCTGAAATTGTCTCAATTATTGATTTATGAAGCCAAACTTGCCAAGTACTTTGTACAGAAGGTCCACCTCACTGAGTCAAACGCTTTTCAGCATCAAGGCTGATCACTAATGTCTCCTGCTTTTGTTTAACGACCTGCTGCATTATGTGCAGAACTCTTCTGATGCTGTCCTGTGTTTGTCTTTGTTTGATAAACCCGGTTTGATCTTTATGGATCAACTGTGGCAGGATTGTTTCCAATCGCTTTGATATTATTGATGTGAATAATTTGTAGTCAATGTTTAAAACACTAATTGGGCGGTAATTACTACACTCTAGTCTATCCTTTCCCTCCTTAGGTATAATGGAAATTATTGCTTCATTCCAAGATTTTGGTATTTCTTTCCATCACCCAATTAAAAGTCTTCAATAAGGTTGGAATCAAGTGATCCTCCATTGTTTTGTACCACTCAGGCCCATAACCATCTGCTCCCGCCATCTTTCCTCTTTTCAGTCTCCCAATTGCTAAATGAATTTCTTCTTTAGTTATTGCAGCAAGAAGTTTCTTATTTTGTTCTTCTGACAAGGTTGGTAAATCTAATTGGGTCAAGAACGTATCAATCTGCTCACATATTTGTGCAAATTTGAGAGTAAAGATTTTTATAATAGTATTGAAAACATTGCTGAATTTTCTCCTGTTCAGTTTCTAATTTGTTATTTAAGGGGTTTTTTATTTTATGTATTGTTCTCTCTGCTTGTTGTTTCTTCAATATATAAGATAGACGTTTTAGAGATCTCCCACCTGATTCATAGTACTGTTGTTTTGTAAAAACAAGCTTTTTCTGTACCGCCAACGTATTGATATCATCAATTTCTTTTTTCAATTTTATAATTTCAGATTTAATTTCGTTTTTCATAGTTTTAGAGTGCACACGCTGAAGTTTTAACAATTTGTTTTCCAAGCATACAAGTTTGTATTGGTTGGTTTTCTTTTGATAAGAGGAGATACTTATAATTCTACCTCTCATTACTGCCTTAAGAGTATCCCAAAGAATCACTGGGGAGACCTCATCATTGTCATTATGCACAAGGTACTCCTCTAACGCATCTTTTAGATCTTCTTTAATATTTGGGTAGTTAAGAATATTACTGTTTAGCCTCCAAAAAGTAAATCTTTTCTTACTTGCTAAGCAAACATTCACATAGACTGGGTTATGGTCAGAGATTGTACAGGGCCCAATTTCACTGGTTTTGACTCGGAGGATGTCATTTTTGAACATAAAAAAATAATCTAGACGAGAATAGACATTATGGGGGTGTGAATAGTGAGTATACTCCCTCCTGGATGGATTATTATCTCTCCATACATCAATTATTCCAATTTCTTCCATAAGATGTAGCATCTTTTTCCCTATCTTTTTAGTGTCACCTTTCCCATTTGAAGAGTCAAGTGAACCATTTAACGCAATGTTGAAATCTCCCCCACATATTAAGATTCCCTGACTTTTAGTAGTAATTAGTTCAAAAACATGTTTATAAAAGGACCAATCGCTACCAGGAGGGACATACACATTGACAAGAGTTACAAGGGTATCTTCAATCTTTCCTGTTATCAGGACATATCTGCCTTCCTTGTCTTTGTGCTCTGATATATGCTCATAGTTCAGTACCCGCATATCAGAATCGCCACTCCTCTCCGGCGCCCTGAACCATGAGAAGAATAAAACACATGTTTGAAACCCAGTTTGTTCAATTTGGAATGTTCCTCATCTGAGAGATGCGTCTCCTGCATCAATGCAATTTCTACTTTATCTCTTTTGAGTTTAGACAGTGCTTTCCATCTTTTAACTGGACTATGCAAGCCATTAATATTGATTGTAACAAGTTTTATACGTTTGTCAAACATGGTGTTATTCCATTAGTTACATCATACATATGTTCCCTGCTCCCCATAATAACAATTGAACTAAGAACAATAGTAAAACTGAACATTTGAAAAAGAATAACGAACAGACTTTGATGATGTGAACTCCTGAGGCAGGGGTCTTTGAGACAGACCCTGTAGAGCTTCTAAAGGCAACGTCCTCATCAGTTTGTTGAAGGGGGCCCTTATTGGCTGTGGCGTGCACTATGGGAAGATGCACCATAAAGAACCGTACACTTCATATTTCACACCAAAAACCACAATGTCTTTAAGCTTAGGCTTAAAATAAAAAGACCATAATGGATATTTCTCACTGACAATCAAAAAAAGTAAAAAAAAACAACCTTAATCTCCAGAGGGAACAGCTGCCGCTCTCCTGAAGGCTCTCAATTTCTCTTTGTAACCCGGGTCCAGCCCTGGGTTTGGTGTATTGCGAGCAGCCCCTCTGGTCACTCTGGTCCAGGTCAGCTGTTTTAGTTGCTCCAAGATTGTTTCTGCTGGTTTGATAATCACAACAGGAAAGCCTCTTCTGGACATGTCTTCACTCGCCTCCACTGCTGTATTGTACGTTTTGATTCCTTCGGCAAACTTCACCTTCAGTCTAGCTGGAAAGAGGGTTTGGAACTGGATCTGGTTGTCTTTTAAAACTCTGCGCAGGTCAGCATATTCTCTTCTCTTCTTAATGATAACAGGAGGATAATCATTGTCCAGTGTTATTTGTTTACCTTTCCAAGTAAAACCTCTTTGTTGCCTTGCGGAGGATTTGTTCTTTTGTCTTGAAGCTCAAGAACTTAACGAGAATAGAGCGCGGCGGGGCCCCACTTGGGGGCGGGGCCCAGGGAGCGGTGAGCTCGTTCAATGCCGATATCTTTCACATCATCCAGTCGCAAACCCTCACGCAACAAACATTCAACAAAGTCACTCACTGTAGGGGAGTCTCGCTCGGATTCTTCGGGTACGCCGTAAATCCTGATATTCTCCCTCCTGGTGCGGCTTTCCAAATCTGTTAACTTGTCCTCTAACTTCATGTGCAGCTGCACGAGTCCGGCCATGGCGTCCTCGGTGTTCTGAATCCTCTCCTCCGCTTTCTCGATCCTCTCCTCAGCTTCCTCCAGTCGGTTGTTCACTTTGGCGATATCATCCTTGATACCTTCTAACTGCTCCCTGTTCTCTTGGCGAAAGTCTCTGAGTTCTCGTAAAAGTACATCGTAGTCCGCCATGATGCGTGGTAGCGAGTGTTAGCTTAGCGTTGGCTAGTTAGCCTTGCAGTTGTTTTGCCGTGGATCTCCGATGGTCAACTGTACGCTAACGCTAGCGTTTTTCGAAGTCGATTCACTTACATTAAGTCGCCATCCAGTATGGTTTTCTGGTGTATTTCTCTCCCCCTTTATCTTATCTCCAATTTATAAGATTTATTTCACCATTTGAGGGGGGCTGGTATTAATTATCTTGGTTCTGTCGGGAGCCTCTCACCACGCAGCCATGACGTTGATGTTCCAACCGGAAGTCCCTAGACCTGGTTTAGACCTGGTTTAGACCTGAGTCCTGGTTGAGTCCTGGTTGAGTCCTGGTCTGTTGCAGGTCTGGTCCTGGTTGAGTCCTGAGTCCTGAGTCCTGAGTCTGGATTTAGTCCTGGTCCTGTTGCAGGTCCTGGTCCTGTTCAGTCCTGGTTGAGTCCTGGTCCTGGTTGCACCTGGTCCTGGTTGGTCCTGGTTGAGTCCTGGTTGAGTCCTGGTGTTGAGGTCTGGTCCTGAGTCCTGTTGAGTCCTGGTTGAGTCCTGGTCCTGGTTCTGGTCCTGGTTGAGTCCTGGTCCTGAGTCCCTGGTCTGGTCTGTTCCTGGTCCTGGTTAGTCCTGGGTTGCAGTCCTGGTCCTGGTGAGTCCTGGTTGAGTCCTGGTTGAGTCCTGGTCGTTGGTCCTGGTTGCAGGTCCTGGTTGAGTCCTGGTTGAGTCCTGTTGGTCCTGGTTGAGTCCTGGTTGAGTCCTGGTCTGTTGCAGGTCTGGTCCTGGTTGAGTCCTGGTTGAGTCCTGGTTGAGTCCTGGTTGAGTCCTGGTCTGTTGCAGGTCTGGTCCTGGTTGAGTCCTGGTTGAGTCCTGGTCTGTTGCAGGTCTGGTCCTGGTTGAGTCCTGGTTTGAGTCCTGGTCTGTTGCAGGTCTGGTCCTGGTTGAGTCCTGGTTGAGTCCTGGTTGAGTCCTGGTTGAGTCCTGGTTGAGTCCTGGTCTGTTGCAGGTCTGGTCCTGGTTGAGTCCTGGTTGAGTCCTGGTTGAGTCCTGGTTGAGTCCTGGTTGAGTCCTGGTTGAGTCCTGGTTGAGTCCTGGTCTGTTGCAGGTCTGGTCCTGGTTGAGTCCTGGTCCTGGTTGAGTCCTGGTCTGTTGCAGGTCTGGTCCTGGTTGGTCCTGGTTGAGTCCTGGTTGAGTCCTGGTTGAGTCCTGGTCTGTTGCAGGTCTGGCTCAGTCCGGGGCCTGGGGTTGCTTCGATGAGTTTAATCGCATTGATCTTCCCGTCCTGTCGGTGGCGGCGCAGCAGATCCACATCGTGCTGCAGTGTAAGAAGAACAAGAAGAAGAGCTTCATGTTTTCAGACGGAGACGAGGTCGAGATGGACCCTGAGTTTGGCATCTTCCTCACCATGGTAACCACTCCTTTAGACCTGGTTTAGACCTGGTTTAGACCTGGTTTAGACCTGGTTTAGTCCTGGTTTAGACCTGGTTTACCTGGTTTAGACCTGGTTTAGTCCTGGTTTAGACCTGGTTTAGACCTGGTTTAGACCTGGTTTAGACCTGGTTTAGACCTGGTTTCCTGGTTTAGACCTGGTTTAGACCTGGTTTAGTCCTGGGCCTGGTTTAGACCTGGTTTAGTCCTGGTTTAGACCTGGTTTAGTCCTGGTTTAGTCCTGGTTTAGACCTGGTGTGTTTTAGAGACTGAACGTTTCCTCTGCGTCAGAACCCGGGATACGCCGGGCGCCAGGAGCTGCCTGAGAACCTGAAGATCCAGTTCCGGACTGTGGCCATGATGGTCCCGGACCGAGCGATCATCATGAGGGTGAAACTGGCCAGCGCCGGCTTCAGGGACAACGAGAGTCTGAGCCGCAAGTTCTACACACTCTACAAGCTCTGTGAGGAACAGCTCTCCAAACAGGTACTACAGACACTACAGACACACAGGCACTACAGACACACACGGACTACAGACACTACAGACACGGACTACAGACACACACGGACTACAGACACACAGGACTACAGACACACAGGGTACTACAGACACACAGGACTACAGACACACACGGACTACAGACACACAGGCACTACAGACACACACGGACTACAGACACACAGGGACTACAGACACACAGGTACTACAGACACACACGGACTACAGACACACACGGACTACAGACACACAGGCACTACAGACACACACGGACTACAGACACACAGGCACTACAGACACACACGGACTACAGACACACACAGACAACACAGGACACACAGGGACAGACACAGGGACTACAGACACACAGGGACTACAGACACACAGGGACTACAGACACACACGGACTACAGACACACACGCACTACAGACACACACGCACTACAGACACACAGGGACACACAGACAGACACACAGGGACTACAGACACACACGGACTACAGACACACAGGGACTACAGACACACACGGACTACAGACACACACGGACTACAGACACACACACACACACGGGACACGGACTACACAGACACACACGGACTACAGACACACACGGACTACAGACACACACGCACTACAGACACACAGGCACTACAGACACACAGGGACTACAGACACACAGGGACTACAGACAGGGACTACAGACACACAGGGACTACAGACACACACGGACTACAGACACACACAGGGACTACAGACACACACGGACTACAGACACACACGGACTACAGACACACAGGGACTACAGACACACAGGGACTACAGACACACAGGGACTACAGACACACACGGACTACAGACAGGGACTACAGACACACACGGACTACAGACAGGGACTACAGACACACACGGACTACAGACACACACGGACTACAGACACACAGGGACTACAGAAACACACGGACTACAGACACACACGGACTACAGACACACACACAGGGACTACACAGACACACAGGGACTACAGACACACAGCGGACTACAGACACACACAGGGACTACAGACACACAGGGACTACAGACACACACGAACTACAGACACACAGGCACTACAGACACACACGGACTACAGACACACACAGGGACTACAGACACACAGGGACTTACAGACACACAGGGACTACAGACTACAACACACACGGACTCAGACACACAGGACTACAGACACACAGGACTACAGACACACACAGGACTACAGACACACACACGGACTACAGACACACACTACAGACACACACGGACTACAGACACACACGGACTACAGACTAGACACACAGGGACTACAGACACACAGGGACTACAGACAGACACACGGACTACAGACAGGGACTACAGACACAGACACACAGGGACTACAGACACACACGGACTACAGACACACACGGACTACAGACACACAGGGACTACAGACACACAGGGACTACAGACACACAGGGACTACAGACACACACGGACTACAGACAGGGACTACAGACACACACGGACTACAGACAGGGACTACACAGGACACACACACGGACTACAGACAGGGACTACAGACACACACGGACTACAGACACACACGGACTACAGACACACAGGGACTACAGAAACACACGGACTACAGACACACACGGACTACAGACACACAGGCACTACAGACACACAGGGACTACAGACACACACGGACTACAGACACACACGAACTACAGACACACAGGCACTACAGACACACACGGACTACAGACACACA